CCTCACTAGGCGCCGGTCGGAAGCCCGGCCAGAGTGGCCTTAGGGGAGGAACCCGCTGCTCTTTTGTTCGCGCGGAGTGGGGCGGAGGTGCCTGCTGCCATGTTGTGGCCCTGGTCTTCCGGCCGCTTTCCACACGCGCCGTATGGGAAGGGGTAAAAGGATGGGCGGAGGAGAAAACTGTCCAACAGCGGGTAGCGAGACCCTGCCCGGCCTGTCACTGCCCAGGCCGCCATAGCAGTACAGCAGACATTTCCCTCACAGCACCGCCGCTGTTGATAGCCTTTATGCTAAATTTTAAAGGCCCCAGAATATGGCCGCGTTCTAGGCAGTAGCCAGATGTTCTTTAATTTTTTTCCACAAAGGCTGTTCTTTGACTTCTTGAACACTTAAGGGAAACGTGGCTAAACAAGATTTTACTGTGTATTTGTGGTTTTGATTACGTTGTATTTAGTCTTTTGAGGGCTGCAATGCAGTGAAAGTTAATCAGCTGCAGTGAGAGAGCCTAAATAAATGACAATAGACTGGAGGTGTATAGATCTATATGTTGGCAGAACCTAATTTTGGTGTTCTTTTCTCGTTCCAGGCTTTTCATTTGTACCATCCCCTCCCCTCCCCACCCCATCCATTAATATTATTCTTTTGAAGATTCTTCGTTGTCAAGCCGCCAAAGTGGAGAGTGCGATTGCAGAAGGGGGTGCTTCTCGTTTCAGGTATGGTTTCCTGTATGGGACATGGGAGGAGGGGTGTTTGAAAAGGCAAGTTATAAACCCATAACCAAATCCCACTTAACGTGTTGTGGTTCTAGAATTGTTTTCTGAAGAGTAAGTGAATTAACTTTGTGTGTGTGGGGGGGTTTGCTTGCATGAATGTCTGTACCCCTGTATGCAGTGTGTCAGGGCATCAGATCCCCTGGGAATGGAGTTAGAGTTGTAAGCTGCCATGTGGGTGTTAGAAATTGAACCCTTGTCCTCTGGAAGAGCAGCCAGCACTCTTAAAAACACTGAGCCATCTCTAGCTTCTGGTTCATTTTCTTTTAGGCCAAAGTTCAGTCTTCAGTAGTCGTACAATTTCTAAAATATAAATAGGTTCCCTTTTGAGTGAGACATGATTGGTATAGTAAAGATTTTCTTTTGAATAGTGCTTCTTCGGGCGGAGGAGGAAGTAGGGGTGCACCTCAGCACTATCCCAAGACTGCTGGCAACAGGTATGGTAACTTGTAAAGACGGTGAGTTGTCAGTTTGCCTATCAGGATACTTCTTGGGAAATCATCCGTGATCCCGATGTGAATTCATAATTTCAAACTGTTGTTGATGCTCTTGTTTCATATTTGCTGGCATTCCAAAATCAAAATGACTGTCACTACTATTTGGTATTTGTAATATGGTCTGTGTGGAATATGGTTAAGTACTTTTAAGTCTCAAGTTTTGGTTCCTGGATCAGCAATTTTGGCGTTTGTCTGGGAATGTAATCAGAAATGAAAATTCTCAGATACTGCCCCAAACCTACTAGAGCAGAAATTGGGAATGCACCTCCCACTCTGTTTGCGGTTTGAGAAAGAATTGCAGTGTTGCTTTGTGGGGAGGAGGAATGTGAAGCCAAAAATTTATTTTTTATATTTCTGCTTATTTAGCAAAGTATTAGGATGGTAGGACATTTGTTACATGAATGGATTTTCTTGATCGTAAACTACTTTGTTGCTGTTTATTAAACTAGCGAGTTCCTGGGGAAAACCCCAGGGCAAAACGCTCAGAAATGGATTCCTGCACGAAGCACTAGACGAGATGACAACTCCGCAGCAAACAACTCCGCAAATGAAAAAGAACGACATGATGCAATCTTCAGGAAAGTAAGAGGGTAAGTAAGTGTGTCAGGGTCTGTTCTGAGGGAGTACAGATTAGCTGTACTGTTTCTGGTATGTGTGGTGTACAACTACAAAGCATGATTCACATTTTAGACAAGTTTGTGACAATATTTTCTTTGAAGAGTGGTCCATTGCCCCTAGGTGTTTGGCAGCAGGGGTCATTTGTATTACCTATAAGCTTATGCTGGTTCTATGTTGGTCTGGTGTGTAACTTCCAGATAATGAGAGCCTTGTGCTCTTGAGTGTCTATATCTGTGAGAAGTTTATTCCAGTATCTCTTTGGTTAGATGAAAAATGAACACTTCTACAACAAGATTTCCATAGGCTCAAGCCATACAAAAATCCCAGCACAAAGATGGGAGGGTCACAAAGTCCCATTCTAGCCAAGAAGCTACTGGCAATTCAGAACTGCTGGGAGAGGGGAAGTTTTCTTTTCTTTCATGGAGTGATACAGCAACACTCCAGGGCAAGGACCTATGCTCAGGAATAAATGGGCAACACAAATTTCTGTTTTTAGTGGCCTTAGGGAAGAATGTGAAATGGGGTAGGGGCGGAGTTGGGAGGTCAGGAAAGAGTATAATAAAGAAAAATACACTGTATAGATTATCAAAAAAATAAACTGGGAAGAGAGAGAAAGGAACTTTTTTTGTTTTCCCTGGTTAGGGAGCTAGCTAGTAAAGGGAAAGTCAAATTTTAAATGCTTTTTTTTTTTCCAGCTCAGAAAATATTTGTTAACCCACACAAAATGTGTTTTTCTCCCCAGCATACTAAATAAGCTTACTCCTGAAAAGTTTGACAAGCTATGCCTTGAGCTCCTCAATGTGGGTGTAGAGTCTAAACTCATCCTTAAAGGGGTCATACTGCTGGTAAGTTTAAAATGGTAGCTCAAAAGAGTGGGAGGATTAACAAGTCCAAGTTTCTTACACTGGATTATTGCATTAAATCATGAGATAGGTCCTAGGTAATAGATGTATATGTCTGAGTAATAAGAAAAACAGAACCACTTTCTGTTAGAGAGGTGGACCTTGAATCCTCATTTGCCTTGGTTTACCAAGCTGTCTGGAAACAGCTGTTGAGTTTTTCTTTGTGAAAGTGGTTTTGGGAATTCATACGCTAATTCATATAAGATTCTGGCATCTTGTTTTTTGCATAACTAGCAACCACAGTTGGGTGCTCTACTCAACAGTGTCTTGTGATTTATAGTTCTGGTCGTGATATTTTGTAGCTGGGGAGAGGAATACAACATTATTAGATTTAGTACATTGTACCACAGGTGATGGTTAAAAACTTAATGGCTTTATTTTTCTGGGTTATTTTCCAAATGAATAGAGACTATAGTTGTGAATTTAACGGCTGTTTAAAAAAAAAAAGTGTGGACACTTTCAGCCTCTGATTCATGGTGGTTTAATGACTTCTGTAGATTGTGGACAAAGCCCTAGAAGAGCCAAAGTATAGCTCACTGTATGCTCAGCTATGTCTGCGATTGGCAGAAGATGCACCAAACTTTGATGGCCCAGCAGCAGAGGGTCAACCAGGACAGAAGCAAAGCACAGTGAGTAGCAGTTTTTGCTTCCTTTGTTTTAAAATTAATTTGGGAGATCTTTTTATTAACGAAGTCTATCTTTTGTTTTCAAATAGACATTCAGACGCCTCTTGATTTCCAAATTGCAAGATGAATTTGGAAACCGAACCAGAAATGTTGATGGTAAGAATTTTAAATTGGCTGTTAACTAGTACTGGGTGTTTTTATTACATTTATACTTTCTGTGGCCTAAGTATAGAGGTCAGAACACTTGCAAGAATGGTTCTAAGTGTTCTTTACTCTGTTTGCCTCCCCTTTCTCAGTCTATGATAAGCGTGAAAATCCCCTCCTCCCTGAGGAGGAGGAACAAAGAGCCATTGCTAAGATCAAGATGTTGGGGAACATCAAATTCATTGGAGAACTTGGCAAGCTTGATCTTATTCATGAATCTATCCTTCATAAGTGCATCAAAACAGTGAGTATGACTGGAGTAGCTTAGGATGAACATGTCCTTATTTGGGAAAAATTAATCTCAATTTTTCATACCATCTGAGAAGATGGGTGGCTACTAACATAGTTTGATGACCACAGAAACTTGGGATTTTGAGGTGTGCTTTATAAAATAGAGGTAGATTATAGATTGCCTTACCTGTGTTAAATTTCCTAGAGAGATTTCAACACAGACTGGTAGGAGAGCATTGTCTTAGCTCTAGGAATTATGAGTCCGTCGAAACCTAAGGAGGAACTACTACATAAATCAGAAAAACTAAGATTTTAAACATTCCTTTGGTAGCTTTTGGAAAAGAAGAAGAGAGTCCAACTCAAAGATATGGGAGAGGATTTGGAGTGCCTCTGTCAGATAATGAGGACAGTGGGACCTCGATTAGACCATGAACGAGCCAAGGTATGTTTTTACTGAGAATAATTTAAGGGTAGTGTGTCTTGTGAGTTGGGATTTGCTCTAGTTAGTCATCTAACTTTATGGCATGACTGCCTTAAAATAGTATGCATTAATCTGGTTCTAATTGTGTTTTGTTGTCTTTTTATCAGTCCTTAATGGATCAGTACTTTGCCAGAATGTGTTCCTTAATGTTAAGTAAGGAATTGCCAGCAAGGATTCGTTTCCTACTGCAGGTACGATTTTTGTTTTTTAAGCAATGTCCAATAAGGTTGAGTTTTTCCTTTGGAATAGTAAAACACAATATATGCTTTTTTAAATTACAGGATACCGTAGAGTTGCGAGAACACCATTGGGTTCCTCGCAAGGCTTTTCTTGACAATGGACCAAAGACGATCAATCAAATCCGTCAAGATGCAGTAAAAGTAAGTTTTTTGTTTTAACAGTAGTGTAATACTTTCCTTGATTCTACTTAACTAGAATTATCTTAACTGGTATTGAGGTTTCATAGTATCCTTCAACCTACTTTTCTTCTCAAAGGATCTAGGAGTGTTTATTCCAGCTCCTATGGCTCAAGGGAGGAATGACTTCTTCCTGGAGGGACCGTTCATGCCGCCAAGGATGAAAATGGATAGGGACCCACTTGGGGGACTTGCTGATATGTTTGGACAAATGCCAGGTAATTTTAAATAAGAGCAGTGTTTGAGTTAAACTAAAAGTTTAGTTTTAGTGGAGTTGTAAAAATTGTCTGTATTTTTTAAGGTAGTGGAATTGGTACTGGTCCAGGAGTTATCCAGGATAGATTTTCACCCACGATGGGACGTCATCGTTCAAATCAGCTCTTCAATGGCCATGGGGGACACATCATGCCTCCCACGCAATCGCAGTTTGGAGAGATGGGGGGCAAATTTATGAAAAGCCAGGTAAGACATTGACAGTGTTTATAGTGTTAGGGCAAGCCTTAGGTCCAATGCATTTTGCCCTGTATTTAAATGAAGCTGAGTTTGCTTTTAATCCTTTTTTTTTTTCCTAAGATCTCCATCTGACAGTTGTTTCAAATTGAGTATGTAATGTGTGTCCTTAAAATTAGTAAAATCAGATCACTTTATTCAACAGATAGGTTAGATATTCCCTGTTTTATCTTTTCTGGGCAGATGCAGTTAATCTCTGGGCAAAGCAATTGCTTGGATCATTCCCTTGGTATTCGATTACCATAATTTTTATCTAGACTTTCTCTCTCCCTTTCTGAAATAGGGGCTAAGCCAGCTCTACCATAACCAGAGTCAGGGACTCTTATCCCAGCTGCAAGGACAGTCGAAGGATATGCCACCTCGGTTTTCTAAGAAAGGACAGCTTAATGCAGATGAGGTACATTTGCCTACATTTCTTTTATGTAGTAGTATGTCAGTGCAGAAATCTCTTGCCCGATGATTATAAAAAGACGCGAAAGAGGACTTGAAGCTGGATCTTTTCCTTTTTTCTCTTCTATTCTTTCTCACTCTCATCTCTACTATTCTTTCTCACTTGTCTCTACTTTCCCTATTCTCTGCTTCTTTTTCTCTTTGGATATCCAGCGTCCGATGAGCGAAGATTATGAGATATGAGGGCAAGTTTCTAAGTAATTTTTAGTAGTTAGCATGAGAAATGATTAAGATGTTGGTAGTTTATCTGTAAGTAGAATAAAGAATATTTGTATTGCTGATATTGCTCCAATTATGGCGCAAACTAAGGTTTGTAAATAATGCCTTATTCTTTTCCCCCAGTATCTTACCCAGAAGTTAAATGTTATTACATGATATGAAGTAACTTTCCGTTTAGAGAATTATATCTCTGCCATAATAATTAGATTCATGTAGAATTAATTATAGGGCATTAAAAGTATTAAGATTTAATGTTTGCTTCTGTTAACTTGGTTATATGTTAATTTGTTTTCAATTTTAGATTAGTTTGAGGCCTGCTCAGTCGTTCCTAATGAATAAAAATCAGGTGCCAAAGCTTCAGCCCCAGATAACTATGATTCCTCCCAGTGCACAGCCACCACGCACTCAAACACCACCTCTGGGACAGGTATGGACCCCAGAGTGTCTGCCCCGGAAAATGTGTGGACTCACATGTCCTTCCTTCTGCTTCATGGTGGTACTGTTCCTTTTTGATTTGTTTATTTTGACCAAACGTGTTGTGTTGCTTATCTTTAGACACCTCAACTTGGTCTCAAAACTAATCCACCACTTATCCAGGAAAAGCCTGCCAAGACTAGCAAAAAGCCACCACCATCAAAGGAAGAACTACTTAAACTGACGGTAAGTTTCAGATACTCCCTAAATCATCTCTACTGCTTAGAAAACATTTGAGGATAGGGAACACTAATTTGAATTGAATTGTGTTCTTCTCAGGAAGCTGTTGTGACTGAATATCTGAACAGTGGAAATGCAAACGAAGCTGTCAGTGGTGTAAGAGAAATGAGAGCCCCAAAACACTTTCTTCCTGAGATGTTAAGCAAAGTGATCATCCTGTCACTAGATAGAAGTGATGAAGATAAAGAAAAAGCAAGCTCTTTGATCAGTTTACTCAAACAGGAAGGGATAGCCACAAGTGACAACTTCATGCAGGTAGAACATTCTACTGATTGTGTAGTAGGTAACTCTTACAGTCATGGTTGGGAAACTAATGAACTGTTTTGTATATTCTTACCGAAGGCTTTCCTGAACGTATTGGAGCAGTGCCCCAAACTGGAGGTTGATATCCCCTTGGTGAAATCTTATTTGGCACAGTTTGCAGCTCGTGCTATAATTTCAGAGTTGGTGAGCATTTCAGAACTAGCTCAACCACTGGAGAGTGGCACCCACTTCCCTCTCTTCTTACTTTGTCTTCAACAATTAGCTAAATTACAAGATCGCGAATGGTTAACTGAACTTTTTCAACAAAGCAAGGTCAATATGCAGAAAATGCTGCCAGGTAAGAGCTTCTGGCTTAATACAGTAAGTGGGGATTTTTGATGCCTTTAGGGGATTTTTGTATAGCAGTCTAGATAGACCAGTCTGGTAAAATGAGAAATGTCTTTGCAGAAATTGATCAGAATAAGGATCGAATGTTGGAGATTTTGGAAGGAAAGGGACTGAGTTTCTTATTCCCACTCCTTAAATTGGAGAAGGAACTATTGAAGCAAATTAAGCTGGATCCATCCCCTCAAACTATATATAAATGGATTAAAGATAACATCTCTCCCAAACTTCATGTAGATAAAGGATTTGTGAACATCTTAATGACCAGGTAAGATGAATAGTTTCATTTGCTGGAAAGAAGTCTTCAGGGCAGAGGCCCAAGAAGTTATTGTGGGATTTCTAACATGATCTCTGCTGTTCAGCTTCTTACAGTACATTTCTAATGAAGTAAGCCCACCTAGCGATGAAACAGATTCTTCCTCTGCTCCTTCCAAAGAACAGTTAGAGCAAGAAAAACAACTGCTGCTCTCCTTCAAGCCAGTGATGCAGAAGTTCCTTCATGATCATGTGGATCTACAGGTCAGTGCCCTGTATGCTCTGCAGGTGCACTGTTATAACAGCAGCTTCCCAAAAGGTAAGGTGAATGGTGTCCCGGAGTAGGGAATGAGGGACAGTCTGAAACAGCATACCCAATGAGGGAATTACATGGCGTTTTGTTTTGTTTTGTTTTAAGGCATGTTACTTCGATTTTTTGTTCATTTCTATGACATGGAAATTATTGAGGAGGAAGCTTTCTTGGCTTGGAAGGAAGACATAACACAAGAGTTTCCAGGAAAAGGCAAGGCTTTGTTCCAGGTAAGTGCTTTGTTAAGATTCTTTGCTATTGATTTGGCTTAGTATTTTTTTTCCTTTGGTATTTTAAATGACCTTTCTAACTTGAATGCATCAAAAAGTTAAAACTTTGAAAAAAAGGCATATTTTCTAGTTTGATTTTCTATTTTCAAGTGGAATTAGAGCCCTGGGAATAGAACTTTACATGAAAGTACTCTAAATCCATAGTGTACATAAATAAGATTTTTAAAAGTAGGATGGATCACTGACTGTACTTCGAGGGGTCCTGAGTTCAATTCCCAGCAACCACATGGTGGCTCACAACCATCTGTAATGAAATCTGGTGCCCCCTTCTGGCCAGCAGGCATACATGCACTGTATACATAATAAATAAATGTTTAAAAAAAATGATTTACTTAAAAAAAAAAGTAGGATCACAGCCTGATGCTAAAGGTTCTTACTTAGCACAATTCAGATAGTTAACAATTTTTCTAGAGCCTCAACTTTGAAGAAGCCCTGGTTTACTAAGGTTTGTAGACTTTAGTAAGTTTTGTAGTTTTTAGATTTTTGTGAGGATCATTCTTAGAATCTGACAGTAATTTCAGAAGCTACTATATGCTGGTAAAATTTGGTTTGGAAGAGTTACTATCTTTGACAATAATGTGTCAGACTAGTTAATTGAAGCTAGGTATGTGGTTTGTGCCTTGAAGCCCAGCACTTTGGAGTTAGAAGGTCGAGGACAGCTTGGAAAGACAGCTCAGTAACTTAATTGTAACTGTCTTATCTTCAATCCCCAAAGTTCCAAGCCCCTTTCTGGTGTTGTGGGCCCTATGCATACATGTACGCAGTCATACAGTTAATCAGTTAATCACCTATGTATACACAAATGTTTTAAAGGGAGAAAGGCTAGAATGGCTCAGGTAAAGTTTGTGAAGACCAAAGTTCAGTTCCCAGAATCTACTTAGTCTCTTTGGGTGAATTTTTTAAAGATTTACCTGCATGTATATCTTATGAAGGTACCAGATCCCCTGGAATCTGTAGACAGTTGTGAGCTGCCATGTGGATACTCTTAACCACTGAGCCATCTCTCCAGCCCCTAAAACTTAATTTTTATATACTATATTACTAAGTTTTATTGAATTATAACTTTAATTTACAGGTAAATCAGTGGCTAACATGGCTAGAAACTGCTGAAGAAGAAGAATCAGAGGAAGAAGCTGACTAAAGAACCAGCCAAAGCCTTAAATTGTGCAAAACATACTGTTGCTATGATGTAACTGCATTTGACCTAACCACTGCGAAAATTCATTCCGCTGTAACGTTTTTCACATATTTAAAGCAGAAGCACGTCAGTAAGGTTTCCTTCTGCATAAGGTTTTTGTAGTGTGATGTCTTAATCATAGTCTACCATCAAATACTTTAGGAGTATCCTTAATGTTTAGATAGAATATTAGCAGCATGCAATAATTACATCCTAAGTTCTCAAGCAGAGGCAGTCTATTGCAAGGACCTTCTTTGCTGCCAGTTACCATAGGCTGTTTTAAGTTAGAAAACTGAATAGCAACACTGAATACTGTAGAGATGCACTTTGCTCAGTAATACTTGAGTTGTTGCAATATTTGATTATCCATTTGGTTGTTACAGAAAAATTCTTAACTGTAATTGATGGTTGTTGCCGTAATAGTATATTGCCTGTATTTCTACCTCTAGTAATGGGCTTTATGTGCTAGATTTTAATATCCTTGAGCCTGGGCAAGTGCACAAGTCTTTTTAAAAAGAAACATGGTTTACTTGCACAAAACTGATCAGTTTTGAGAGATCTTTAATGCCCTTGAAGTGGTTTTTGTGGGTGTGAAACAAATGGTGAGAATTTGAATTGGTCCCTCTTATTATAGTATTGAAATTAAGTCTACTTAATTTATCAAGTCATGTTCATGCCCTGATTTTATATACTTGTATCTATCAATAAACATTGTGATACTTGATGTAGTTGTACATGACTTCAAATAGTACCTGCAAAGTTATGGAGAATTATTCATTTTTGAGATTGGACTTATCTCAGTTTAAGAACTTGGGAAATTTTTAGCTTCATAGTCTTAACACCAGTGCTATTCAGTAGTGAATTCACCCTGTAAGCAGCATTCATTATCATACTTTAGAGTATTCTGTTTTTCACCCTACAACTGTTTCCTGTCATTCTCATTCTAATGCAAACTGTCAACTTAATCTGGAGCTGCCTTTTTTGTTACAGACTTTGTATCAACTCTTTGGCTTTCTAAGCACCTTACAAATAAGCTTTCCTCATCCACCATCTTCTTTGCTGAGGTACCCGTTTAGCCCTTAATCTCTCCATTTACTCTTCACAACATAGCAACCAGAGCAAGAAACTGAAAAACAAAACTGCTATGGTTTAAAACCCAGCAAGTGCTAGACTTAAAAGTCATTGTAAAATTGGCTCCCTTTGATTTTGTCTAGCCCTTGCAATATGCAGTTCCTCTACCTGGAATACAGTGCTCTCCTTAACCTCTTAACCTTCGGATGGTGGTATAATTTTCACTCAAAGAACTTGCCTTCTTCCTCTGCCAGGACAGTGAGGAGCTTGTATCAGTCAAGGATTTTTTTGGGGATGTCACTGAAAGGTCTGCAGGGAACTCAGAACAGTGGTCCACAGAAATAGCCTGACTAGGTCAAGTTCCACTGTGTCCCTTGCATCCCCTGCCAATATCTGTTCTCAGGTGTCACCAGCTCCAAAAGCCTACAGTGCAATGAGTAGGGACAGATGTATCCCTTGCTCCCTCCCAGCAGAACCCTGGTCTGCTTTGGAGACTCTGTCATCAACTTTCAGTGGAGTAGAAGAAGCTGGAAAGAGTTGAAGTGGACAGCCACGGATAATTGTGGGATTCAGGTCCATCCTACGATTCAGCCTAGCCTGTGGTCCACCCCTTGGTAAAAGCTGAGCTCCAAGGGAACAGTGCAGGTGTGTTTCTTCACTGCTGAGTGGAATTTTGTGAGCTTCAATCTTAGTGAATTTTGGGAATTAGGAACTTAAGGGCAATTCAAAATTAGGTTTAGAATCCAAAATGTCCTGGATAAAAGATTGTCTTTGAATCTAAAGACTGATTGACTGCATGGTAACTGAATTAGGGCTAACACACTAACTGAAATGATCTGTGTATTGCCCCACCCACTAGAAAAACTAGTAAATAAATGATTGATAGTGACCTGGGTTTTTCTCATTTGTTACGCTCCTTGATCCTAATGTTTCACAGTGTGACCCAGTTGTAAACATCCAGCCTTCACAAAGCAGTGGTTATGTGAAAACTGTCCATCACAGCACAAGCAGTCCCAGAGCCTGCTTTCTTTTTTTTTTTTCTCAGACAGGGTTCCTCTGTGTAGCTTTGGAGCCTATCCTGGCACTCGCTCTGGGGTCCAGGCTGCCCTCGAACTCACAGATCTGCCTGCCTCTGCCTCCCAAGTGCTGGGATTAAAGGTGTACACCACCAACACCTGGCCCCAGAGCCTGCTTTCAAGGCACACTTTGAGCTGGTCTTAAGAAGTTGCGCACATACACATTTATAATCATTGTTAGAGACAACCTGATCCAGGTATCAATAGTAGAGACTGAACTGGGAGTCACATGGGGAGGACTCCCCACATCACTTAGAACTTGGGTCTGGAAAACAGGACAGAAAGCCATCCATCCAACAAGAATGCTCTTGTAGCCTTCTGCTGGGCTCTAGGAGGGGACCTTGGCAGGCAAGATATATACTAGTCCTGTATCCAAAAACCTGGTGTACACAGGTGTGGGAATTTTGGCTTGGTACCCATCTACTATGAATGACAGTGATGTGACTCAGAAGCAGTGATACCTTAAGGATTGTTCAAGTCAGCTGAACAACACAGACTGGAGAAAGTCTGGTTGGCAGGATAGAGACAAATATTTAGGGGTAGTAAAAAGCAATTTGATGGCTAGGTGGTGGTGCATGCCTTTAATCCCAGCACTGGAGAGGCAGGCCGATAGGAGTTCGAGGCCAGCCTGGTCTATAGAGCAAGTTCAGGGCAGGCTCCAAAGCTACACAGATATCCTGTCTCAAACAGATTATATATATAATGTGGGGATGGGGCACTTTATAAGGGGAGATATGTCAGTGCTACTTGAAATGGTGTTCAGAGAATGCCACATGTCAGGGAAATAAAGATCAAAGTTGAGGGAATCAAGCAACTAGAGGAACATTCACAAAGAAGGAAGCAAATTCACAGGCCCTGAGATGGGAGTGGTTGCTCACAATCTCCAGGTCAGGGTGGTTGAGCAAAATAAGGTAGCCTGAGGCTGGAGATTGATGGGGTGTTGGCTGAACCAATCCGACATAACAGACTGGCCTTTATTCATAGTGGGATCGGCTGTCCACTGAGGATCATATTATCTAGCAGTGAGAATTCACTAAAATGGCCTAGAGTCTTTGTGTTATGACATTTAGCTAGCATTCACTCAGCATTTAGTATGTTAGATTGGAGTATACACACTGATTAATCCCATCTAATCTTCATAGCATCCCCGAGTACTATGCTATCCCTAATTTACTGATGGGGAAACAATTGGATAAGTCATACACCTTGTCCAAGAGCTTTAGATAGTTCCAACCCCTTCTGGAGGTTCTTAAGTGTGCATTCAATGAAACCTTGCATTGTGATTCAAGTTATTGGTCACTTCTTTTTATTCAGTCTGTAACCCCAGCTCAAGGATTATGCCACACACATTCAGGTGGGTCTTTTCAGTTAAAACTATGGAAATAGGGCTGGAGAGATGGCTCAGCTGACCACACTCACTGGCTGCTCTTCCAGAGGTCCTGAGTTTAATTCCCAGCAACCACATGGTGGCTCACAACCATCTGTCATGAGATCTGGTGCCCTCTTCTGGCCTGCAGGGACACATGCAGACAGAACACTGCATACATGATAAATAAATCTTTAGAAAAAAGATTGTGTTCATGTGTCTGTGTGTAGTGCCACAGCACCTGTATGGGACAGAGGACAGATTTTCAGAAGTTCCTTCTCCTACCTTGTTTATGAGGAAGGGTCTCTGTTCCTCCTGCCACAGCACAGCAGTAAGTGAGTTTCTGTCCGATTGTGTCTCCACTTGCCATCTCATCATAGGAGTGCTAGAATTACAGACATGAGCCACTTCAGCTAATTTTTAAGATTGGTTCTTGGGATTCAGTTCAGATCATCTGGCTGTGCAGCAAGTGCCATGCCACCAGCCCCCTTTCATTTCTTTGCCCTTTTTCTGCACCCCTTTCCTATAACATGACTGGTTAAGCACTCTTGTGTTATTTTCAATTCCTCATGTTGTGATGACCCCCAAATAAGATTATTTTCGTTCTTACTTCATAACTAATTTTGTTACTGTTATGAATTGTAATGTAAATATTTTTGGAGGCAGAGGTTTGTCAAAGGGGTTGCTACCCACAGGTTGAGAACCACTGGCATAGACAAACCAAGAGTGATGATGCAAGTGAATTAATGATGGCACTCTATTGAGTTCTCTGAAGAAACAGGAGTCATAGCAATGAAAAATTAGACAATAAGTAAAAAAGGGAAAGAAGGAAGGTAATTATAATAACAATTTCTATAACTTGGCCAGGAATGACCTTTTGAGGAAGTTTCAGATTTTGAGGAGCTTAAAGTTTATATAATTTATAATATAAAATTATAAAGTCAATGCAGGGCCCTCAAGGGTGCCTGAGTGAAAATCATGTTTGTGTGAAAAACCTTAAAGGCAAATGGCAGCATGGAGTGAAAGGGTGTTCCAATATGTCTGATTCCAAACATGTAGCAATTAATGGAAAGCTAAGAAAAGAATCTGTTCTACACACCTGAGGAGTTGGCCACAAAAATCGGGCAGGAAAAAGAGTAGTGTTTCAAGTCCTGAGATGGAGACATCATGTATGCCAATTCAGATAGTAGGTAGGCTCCGTTGTCTATTAGGAGCCTGGGAACCAAGAGTTCAAATAATTCTTAAAGTTCATATTTTCTTCTCCTAATGCAGCAGTTCATTTCCAAATTACAATGGAAAAACTCCAGATACAGCATCTATGGCAACCATTTTGTGGTATTTTGTTTGTTTGCACTACTGGAGATGAAACTCAGGCCTCATACGTGCTAGGAAAGAATTTTACCACTAAACTACAACCCCCTCCTCAGACTCGCAAATTTTAATTTCCAAATTACTCTTCAGAAAAAAAAAACAAAACCCAGCTCTCATCATTTCTTTCCAGCCACACAAGGCCTTTGCAGTTACTTGTTCTGTATGGGAATGACACATCCTTCTGAAATGGTTCCAGCCACTGCTGGTTTGTAACATTCACGAAGGCCCTTGAAAGGAGTTGTTTTTTAAAGAAATTGAAAGATTTAAGCACTGTTCCGGGGGACTTGACTGTATAATCTGAAGAGTCATCAGAAGTCAAAACAAGCATATTTAAAGACTATTTTTAAGCTGGGCGTTGATGGTGCACGCCTTTAATCCCAGCACTAGGGAGGTAGAAGCAGGAGGATAGGATCTCTCTGAGTTCAAGGTCAGCCTGGTCTACAGAGCAAGTTCCAGGACAGACTCCAAAACAATACAGAGAAACCTTGTCTTGAAAAACAAAAATAGATAAATAAATAAATAAAAATAGAATAATGCACCACCACTGCTCGGCTATTTTTATTACTTTTAATGTTTTTGTTTTCCAGATATATCTATGGGACTGTGCACATGGATGAAGGTGCCCATGGAAGCAAGACGTATCAGATCTTCCTAAAGCTTAAGTTATAGGAGATTGTGAGCTGGTCAACATGGGTGCTGAGAACTGAACTTGGGTCCTCTGGAAGAGAAAGCATGTGAGCTCTTACCCACTGAGCCATCTCTCTAGCTCCAAGTACGTTTTAAAGCAGAACATTGAACGAAAAGAGTCCCCACCTACAGGGTAAACAGGAGGGCCTGCTG